CCCTGTGTACAAAGCCGGCTCCATAAAGACCTGGTTGGTGTGGAAGAACCTGAGTGTCCTGCACCTCAACCCTACTGAACCCTAAGGATGAGCTTGGTGGGTTTGGTCTGAACCCAGAAGTTAGTTATCATTGCTGGGTGAATAAGCTGTTTGGCAGCTGCACATGTACTAAAGATTGGGGATGCTTGTGACATCATTGACCAAATATGACCTTGTGCCCATATTAAGTCAATGATGTCACAAGCATCCCTGTCCCCTTTGTGTACTGTATATAAAGCCATGTGGCCAATTTTAGGTCAATGACATTGACCAAATATAACCTGGCTTGCTCACAAGGATAGGGGAGGTCTTCTCTCATGACTTTCTCTATCCTTATGAGCAAGCCAAGAGTAGGGAAACGCAACAAGGAAGGTTGGTTCTCAGGTGGAGGCTTTGTTGTATGCAGTCACGTTGCTGACCATTATGTAGCACCCTCTTAGTAAGCTAGAGGGAGCTAGCTATTTTTTCAAATAGAGAGGTTGAGCAGTAACCTGGGTAATAGTCAACAGGGTCAAATTTGGGTCAAGCCTGAGAGGCTCAGTAGATGACTTCCCTGATATCTCTCCCTGATCTAGAGACTTGGAGAACTCTCTAGAACTTAATGGGCGGTCATGAGGAGGGGCTGGTCTGCATACTCGAGATATTATGGCCAACCCCCAAGCAGGAAGCTTGGCATGGAACCAGAGCAGCCCTTAAGTATGACTGAGTCTGCTCAGTAGCAGGAGAGTTTAGGTGGAAGATTTAGAGAAGGCTGAGATTCAGGAGCCTGGGAAGGGGCCAAGTGTAAAGGGGCCTACCTACAGGCAGGAAGCTGGAAAGGAGGATCACTTAGATTTCACTGGCCCCCAGCACAATGACCACTTATGGAGCCAGGAAAGGAGGCAGCTCAACAGAAGGCATGAAGGCAGCTACCAACCCACCAGCTCACAGGAAAAAGGACTGAGTGAATAATCCTACACCCCCTGGGCCAGTTAAGGGGAAAAGAGCACTATGGTGGGAAACCTGATTAGCTCCTTGGGACTGTTCATCTTAAAGTGCCAGTCACTGGGTCCCCTTGCCCAGGGATTCCCTCGGGCAGCTGGATGAGAAGAGGATTCATCTGGGTTCTGGGGTGGTGCATCAGGAGAGGCTGAAGAGCTCTCCCAGAAGAGTTTTGCTGTGTAAAGACTTGTACATAGTTGCCAGGAATTTGTCCTCGGTTTGCAGTTCCCTTGGGCATCCCATACACCCCTTTCCCCATCCAAGTTCAATTCCCCCAATAAAACAAACCAGAAAACCCAAAAAACTCAAGGACCGTTTTATTGTCTCTGGATGATGCATGTTGCCTGACTGTGCAGGACTATAGGGGGACCCAAATCTCTAGCGACTCCTAAGGGGGTAGTGCTACAATTAATAAGTACGGAAAGAGGACCTAAGAGTGAAGTGTGGCTGACACATTATTCCATGTTACTGCTGGAGAATGGAGAATGGGGATGGACTATACTGGCCAGGACCCGGACTGTCCAGGTATAAGAGGGGTGAGCCTTCAGTGGAGCTATGGATTTAGGAAAGTTTTTGATATGTAATATGTAGCATAATAAGCATTTTCACATGTAGGTGCCCCTAATGTCTGTGTGTGTGTACATGGGTGTGGGGAGGGGGCTCAATTTTTTTTTTTTTTGGGGGGGGGGTAGGTGCTTAGTGGGTTACACTTTCTTCATGCAACATTATTGCAATCACATAAAGACCAATAGCTCCTATATAGGACTCCAGGGATGGGCCCTGGAGAGGAGTTATGTGCCCCCCATTACTTTGGTTGTGGTCTCCTTAGGGGGACAAAAGAAGCACCGTGGAGTACTCAGGTATTCTCCCCTGTGCAGTATGAGGGTTCCGGGGTGATCCAGTAAAGGGGGAAACCTGATTTAGAGTTGTCATCGGATTGTCCAGGTAGGGGGCTTGGAATTTGGAGGCTCAGAGAGATTTTGGATGGAAAACAGCCTCCCACATTGACTCTGGGTACTGTGGTCCTAAAACGGTTAACCCACCTGTGAAAAAGGGCTGGAAAAGAAAAGAAGCATGCAGCAGGTGTCCATAAGGTGTGATGTGGAGCAGGACATGATTGTGAGAGGAGCTGAGCACTGTTGGCTTACTGATGCACTGCTGAGATGTGATGACCCTTTCTTCAGACTCTGGAGCAGGTGGGGACTTTCAACCTTGTTGTGGGACACGTTCATGCTGGCGGTGAGCCAAAGATTTCTCCGACTGTTTTTCTTGTTTCTTGCTGAAAAATAAACCTGGACTCTACTGAAGTGATGAGGATTTTGTCACCTCTGCTTTCTGGTGTCACTCTCCCCTGATGGCTGGGCTCCATTAACTTCTCCCCTGGCCACAGTGGCCAGATAAAGTGACACCAGAAACCAGAAGTGACAAAATCCTCATCACGTTTGGGTTCTTACTATCAAGGGAAGATCAGAAAATGGACATCCGCTCTACCCAGCAACATTTGCTATGTGGGTCCCAGGCCTGCAGGTGGGATAGCAAAGCCTGGCAAACATAGCAGGGGGGTCATGCGCTGGGGGTGAGGTGAGTGCACTAGGGATCCATGAAAGCAATCTGGCAGTTGCCCAGTTGCCATATTGGCAGTAGTCATCTGGAGAATATGGAAATCCCCACTGCAGGGTGCAAACGGAACTCCGCTCTCACTTCCTCTATTCGCCTGTCACAGTCCATTATTATTCTATCACAAAGGCAGCAGCCGGCTGCATGGAGTCAGTCTACTCTCTGCCAGTCTATTGGTTCAAAGAACTAACAATTGGAATGAAAGTACAGCGCCACAACTGGCCATTAAGGTCGGTTATATCCAAACAGCTAGAAATCAGAATTAAAGTACAATGCCGTAACTGACCATTGGGTTGACCAGCGAAAGAGCTCGCAATTGGAGTTAAAGTACAGTATTGTAAATGACCGTTATGGGTGGATTTTGCCCAAAGAGCTAGCAATTATAATCAAAGCACAGTGCCGTAACTGACCGTTAAGGGTGGATTTCCCAAAGACCTAGCAATCGGAATTGAAGTACAGTGCCGAAACTGGCCATTAGGGTTGGTGGCCCAAAGAGCTAGCACACAGAATTGGAGTACAGTAACTGGCCATTAGAGTTGGTGCCCCAAAGAGCTAGCAATCGGAATTGAAGTACAGTGCCGAAACTGGCCATTAGGGTTGGTGCACCAAAGAGCTAGCAGTCAGAATTGGAGTACAGTAAATGGTCATTAGGGTTGGTGGCCCAAAGAGCTAGCAGCCAGGATTGGAATACAGTAACTGGCCATTAGGGTTGGTGGCCCAAAGAGCTAGCAGCCAGGATTGGAATACAGTAACTGGCCATTAGGGTTTGGGGCCCAAAAAGCTAGCAGCCAGGGTTGGAGTACAGTAACTGGCCATTAGGGTTGGTGGCCCAAAGAGCTAGCAGCCAGGATTGGAGTACAGTAACTGGCCATTAGGGTTGGTGGCCCAAAGAGCTAGCAGCCAGGATTGGAATACAGTAACTGGCCATTAGGGTTTGGGGCCCAAAAAGCTAGCAGCCAGGGTTGGAGTACAGTAAATGGCCATTAGGGTTGGTGCTCCAAAGAGCTAGCAGCCATGATTGGAGTACAGTAACTGGCCATTAGGGTTGGTGGCCCAAAGAACTACTGGAATTAAAGTGTTTGTAAAGGCAAAAATTTTTTAATAACAAACAAGTTATACTTACCTGATCCTCCTCTTCTTGTGTCCCCCACCGGCACTCTGGACCCCTCCCCCCCGCTGAATGCCGCTTGCTCTGGGGGCACTCGTGCATGCTCACTCCTGAGCTGCGCTCTGTGCAGGGGCGGACTGACCATTTGGAAACTCGGGCACTGCCCGAGGGCCCAGGGTCAGTAGGGGGCCCCATGAGATGCCCCTGGTACCTTTTTCATAGGTTTTTTTGAGTTTGGGAAAGGACACAGGGGCCCCATGATCCCCTATTGCCCGGGGGCCCCATGAGTTGTCAGTCCCGCCCCCTGGCTCTGTGTGTCTATATTCAGCCTTGCCCCCCCCCTTCCCCACTCCCTCATCACTGGCAGTGGGATGTCTCTGCTGCTGCATCTCAGCCAATGAGGGAGAGACCCGGGAGAGACGGTGCTCCCATGCACATCGCTGGATTGAGATGGGGCTCAAGTAATTAATGGGGTGTGGACTGCATGTTGAAAATTTTTTACCTTCATGCATACAATGCAAAACCTTCTGGGTGGAGCACCCCCCCCCTCTCTAATACTTACCCGAGCCCCATCTCGATCCAGCGATTTGCATGGGTTTGCTTCCTGAGCAAGTAGCAACGGCTCTCCCCGGGTCTCTCTTCCCTATTTGGCTCCCGCTACTGTCAATCACAGCCAATGAGGAGAGAGGGGGGTGGGGGGAGGGCCAAGACATATGTAGAGGTGGGGCCTTTTCATTCACTGGAGCGCAGCTTGGGAGTGCCCCCATAGCAACAGGCTTGTTATTGTGAGCACCTGACGGGGGTGAGGATCCCAAGGGACCCCAGAAGAGAAAGATTGGTGGGGTGCTCTGTGCAAAACCATTACAGAGCAGGTAAGTCTGTTATAATCACTTGAAAGTACTAAAACGGACAATTAGGACTGACAAGAGCTAGCAATCAGAATCAGAATGCAGTGCCGTAACTGGCCAGTTGGAGTGGTTTGGTTGAAGTTGTAGGTCTCTGAGGAGAGCTTACAAAGAAGCCGATAATGGCCGATGATGGCCAACGCCAACTGCTACTCTCTCCAAGGTGAGGAACATCCATGAAACCAACCAAAAACACGGCCCATTACCAAATATAACGACCGACGTAGGCATGACTAAGGTATTGCCGATATTACGGCTGCTTAACCACCTCCAGCCCACCATATAGTAATATGACGGGCGCAAGGCGGATCTCTCGTTCTGGGAGGACGTCATATGACGTCCTCCCGTTCTCACTGCGCATGCTCAGGGAGCGTGCAGCAACGGCGATCGGCGGTGCGCTGTGTCCCTCGGACACAGTGGATCACCGGTCACGGAAAGAGCCGAAGATATCAGCTCGGTCATGTGATCAGCTGTGCCCAATCACAGCTGATCACATGTAAACAGGGAAATGCCGGTTATCAGCATTTATCTCCTCACGAGCTGTCACGCTGACAGAGGAGAGGAGAGGAGAGCTGGTAATTGGCTTTCCACAGAGGGGACATGTACACTGATCATCAGGGCACTGATGATCAGTGTCCCCTGATGATCAGTGTAGCCCCAGCAGTGCCACCTGTCAGTGTCCATCAGTGCCTTATGTCAGTGCTCATCAGTACCACATCAATGCCACATATCAGTGCCTACCAGTGCACATCAATGCCACATATCAGTGCCCTACCAGTGCACATCAATGCCACATATCAGTGCTTCATCTGAGCTGCCTTTCAGTGCCACCTATCAGTGCTGCCAATCAGTGCCACCTATCAGTGCCAGTCAGTGCCGCCTATCAGTGCCAGTCAGTGCTGCCTATCAGTGCACATCATGCCGCCGCCTACCAGTGCCCCCCCGCCTATCAGTGCCGCCTATTAGTGCCAGTCAGTGCCGCCTATCAGTGCCCATATATCAGTGCCATGTATCAGTGCTGCCTTTCAGTGCCCATCAGTGATGCCTGTCAATGCCCATCAGTGCCACCTACCAGTGCCAGTCCTCATCAGTGCCCATCAGTGCCACCTATCAGTGTCCATCAGTGCAGCCTATCAGTGCCCATCACTGCAGCCTCATTAGCGCACATCAGTGAAGAAGGATAAAAATCACCTATTTACAAAATTTTATAACAAAAACTAAGACATTTTTTTTCAAAATTTTCAGTTGGGATTTTGGTTTGTTTAAGAAAAAATAAAAAAACCCCGAGGTGATTAAATACCACCAAAATAAAGCTCTATCTGTCACAAAAAAAAAAAGATAAAAATTTCATATGGGTACAGTGTTGCATGACCGCGCAATTGTCATTCAAAGTGCAACAGCGCTGAAAGCTGGAAATTGGCCTGGGCAGGACGGGGGGTAAAAGTGCCCGGTAGGCGAGGGGTTAAACCCCAACACCTACTTGTGACCCCCCCCAACGACAGATGACACAGACCCACTTTGGAGTTGAAAAAGACCATAGCAGCCATTTTATTAAACAAGATTACAACTTTTCAAAGAAATGAAAGGACGACTTTGGAATCTGAGTCTGGCATCAAGTCCATGACACTCCCGGGATATGGATCTGGTCAGGTAAGTCGCAGAGGGGGTTGTTCATCAGTTTCAGCTGCTTTGGTGTTCATGACATTAATAACAGGGGCACTAGATGGGCAGCAATGAGACGACCCCCCAAAACAGGAATGGTTTTAACAGGTGACATTGTTTTACCCTACTCATCTTTTCTGACTGTTTATCACAGTTTTGCATTTGGCTAAGGGTCAGTGTCACTACTGGTAGCATGTGAGGCCTTACCTGGACCCTACAGAGGTTGCACAGGCAGTCGCAGCCATAGAGGACCAACTCCTCCAGGATGGCACATCAATATGTACCATTGCCAGAAGGCTTGCTGTGGTCTCCCCAGCACAGTCTAAAGGGCATGGAGGAGATTCCAGGAGACAAGAGCATGGAGGAGATTCCAGGAGACAAGAGCACGGAGGAGATTCCAGGAGACAAGAGCACGGAGAGAGATTCCAGGGGACAAGAGCGTGGAGGAGATTCCAGGAGACAAGAGCACAGAGAAGGTTCCAGGAGACGAGAGCATGGAGGAGATTCCAGGAGACAAGAGCACGGAGAGAGATTCCAGGAGACAAGAGCATGGAGGAGGTTCCAGGAGGCGAGAGCATGGAGGAGATTCCAGGAGACAAGAGCATGGAGGAGATTTCCAGGAGACAAGAGCACGGAATAGATTCCAGGAGAGAAGAGCACGGAGAAGGTTCCAGGAGACGAGAGCAACGGAGGAGATTCCAGGAGACGAAAGCACGGAGGAGATTCCAGGAGACAAGAGCACGGAGGAGGTTCCAGGAGACAAGAGCATGGAGAGATTCCAGGAGACAAGAGCACGGAGGAGATTCCAGGAGACAAGAGCATGGAGGAGATTCCAGGAGACAGGCAGTTCCTCTAGGGGAGCTGGACAGGGATGTAGAAGTCCTTAACCCATCAGCAGGACCGGTGTCTGCTCCTTTGTGCAAGGAGGACCAGGATGAGCCCTGCCAGAGCCCTACAAAAATGACCTCGAGCAGGCCACTGGTGTGAATGTCTCTGGCCAAACAATCAGAAACAGACTTCATGAGGGTGACCTGAGGGCCCAACATCCTCTAGTGGGTCCTGTGCTCACTGCCCAGCACCATAGAGCTAGATTGGTATTTGCCATTGAACCCCAGAATTGGCAGGTCCACCACTGGCACCCTGTGCTTTTCACAGATGAGAGCAGGTTCACCCTGAGCACATGTGACAGACCTGAAAGGGTCTGGAGAAGCCGTGGAGAACATTCTGCTGCCTGTAACATGTTCAGCATGACCGTTTTGATGGTGGGTCAGTGATGGTCTGGGGAGAGGCATCCCCATGAAGGGACACACAGACCTCTACAGGCTGGACAATGGCACCCTGACTGCCATTAGGTATCGGGGATGAAATCCTTGGACCCATTGTCAACCCCTACGCTGGTGCAGTGGGTCCTGGGTTCCTCCTGCTGCAGTGGGTCCTGGGTTCCTCCTGGTGTGGTGGGTCCTGGGTTTCCTCCTGATGCAGTGGGTGCTGGGTTCTTCCTGGTGCATTGAGTCCTGGGTTCCTCCTGGTGCAGTGGGTCCTGGGTTCCCTCCTGGTGCAGTGGGTCCTGGGTTCCTCCTGGTGCAGACAATGTCCAGCCTCATGTGGGGAGAGTATGCAGGCAGTTCCTGGAGGATGAAGGAATTGATACCATTGAATGGCCCCCACGCTCACCTGACCTAAATAGAACCCCTCTGGGGATGTCAGTTTCAGTCAATCCCACGCTGCCAGGTTGCACCTCAGACTGTCCGGAGCTCAGTGATGCCCTGGTCCAGATCTGGGAGGAAATCCCCCAGGACACCATCTGTGGTCTCATTAGGAGCCTCCCCCAACGTTGTCAGGCATGCATACAAGCACGTGGGGCCACACACACTACTGAGGACCATTCTGAGTTGCTGCAATGACATTTCACTAACATGGACTCGCCTGCTGCATCATTTCTTCACTTTGATTTTTGGGATTGTAGCAATTGTACGTACAGAGATGGATGCGGTCATCCATCTTGCTACAGATCCTCCATCTTGTATCATTCTCTCTCCCTCCAATCCCCCTCCCTCAGGAATGTGATCTGTATGTATGCTGAGATCACAAGACATCAGGCACAGCGGGATAGCTTCATGGTTATAAACCCCAATTAGCCTGGGCACAGTATGTCTGTGAGACTCTTGCTTGGAGCTGATCGTAAAGCTATAAACCCGTCCTTCAATGGGCATGAAACACATTCAAGAATAGCCGTAAAAAAAACAGACGGCACATTGAAAAAAACCCACTTTCCCATATAATTTCATATCTTTAAGATAGGAAATACTGTAGTTACAATGAAACAAAGCATATATTCAGATTGGTCACTTTAATACAAGTCACCTGATACCTTACACCCCTAGTTAAAGTCTACAGGAGAGCAGAAAGCCATATAGTTCTAGCTGAAATAGTAAGATATGGCATGTTTGATGTCGGGACGTTCAGGATATCATTCTGTATATTAATCTACTAGTGGATAGGCTGCTACATGCACTTAGGGAAGGTTATTGACCATGATATAACTTGCAAGGGATTTGGTCATAGCCTGAGTTCCCCCGCCTAAACACCCCTCCCCAAATGAGGAGATTGGTTCTCTGCTGTAAGGAGACACCCTGCTGGGTTCCTAGAAATAGGCTGTTATGTTCGAGGAAGGAAGTTGGGAAAGTTTTAACACCAGGAACCAACTTTGGGAAAAAAAAGGTACTCTTTTGGTCTGACCCTTGAAGTTGCTTAAACCAAGGCTGACGGCAAGTACTCTACCTCTGTAAACTTCTTTCTGTTATCTCCCTGTTGTGGTATTGCTCTCTGTATTTATAGATATATATTGGCTACATCTTTTTTTTTCTGTAAATATTGTTATTGCACCATTTTGACCTTTTTAGTAATAAATTCTATTTTCTGAAAAGTGTTGAACTGTTTCTAAAGCTCCCCTCCTGACAGATCCATATTGATATATTCTGCAGATTATTCAACCGCTGACCTCTCTACAGATCTGCAGAGCATTGCTCCATCCCATCCCCCTCCTGAAAGATCCATCTTGATATATTCTGCAGAGCATCGCTCCGTCCCATCCCCCTCCTGACAGATCCATATTGATATATTCTGCAGATTATTCAACCGCTGACCTCTCTACAGATCTGCAGAGCATTGCTCCATCCCATCCCCCTCCTGACAGATCCATCTTGATATATTCTGCAGAGTATCGCTCTGTCCCATCCCCCTCCTGACAGATCCATATTGATATATTCTGCAGATTATTCAACCGCTGACCTCTCTACAGATCTGCAGAGCATCGCTCCATCCCATCCCCCCTCCTGACAGATCCATCTTGATATATTCTGCAGATTATTCCACTGATGACCTCTCTACAGATCTGCAGAGCATCGCTCCATCCCATCTCCTCTCTGGAACACATACATACCAAGGCTGTGTATGCAGTTTGTGTATGTTCTATTCCCATCCCTCACACCCGGTTCCTCCCTCCCGCCTCCCTCCATGGACTCATTTCCCCTCTTGTCCCGGGAGAGAGAAGTGTTCTGTGATGGGTTTGTGTCTGCCGTACCAGCCAGAACCAGCACAGAGGGTCCAACACACCCCACAACACCCGGTGAGTACAGTAGGGGGGTTAACCCTTCATTGTCCCCCCATATAACCCATGGGACATCCACCGGACACGCCAGGCAAAGATAGTGCAATCAGCACCTCCGTGAGACGGATATGTGTGACTGTTGTGTCATGGAACCCCCTGATCTAGACATGCGACCTTGTATCGTTTTACAGTCATAGTGCATCATGGAGCCGTAAGACCCCCAACCATCGATTTGGTCATAGCCTGAGTTCCCCTGCCTAAACACCCCTCCCCAAATGAGGAGATTGGTTCTCTGCTGTAAGGAGACACCCTGCTGGGTTCCTAGAAAAAAGGCTGTTATGCTCGGGGAAGGAAGTTGAAGAGATCTCCCTTTTAACACCAGGAACCAAAACCGTTTTCTCCTTGTGAAAAGGATCGACTCCTCTTATACTTTTACCACACGTTCTTGCCACTACAAGTCAAACGGTTACTGCCATTACTTAGGGGAAAAAAGGCACCCTTTTGGTCTGACCCTTGAAGCTGCTTAAACCAAGGCTGACGGCAAGTACTCTACCTCTCTAAACATTCTTTCTGTTATCTTCCTGTTGTGTTATT